AGATGGCCCAGCCATCTACACCAAAGTGAATGATGTGAAGGCCCTTGGCCTTAACAAATGAGAGAAGGAAGCTTTGAACCTCAACTACGGTTCTTTGGTGGTGCCTGGACTCAGTACACATGTGGTTGAGTGGTTGACTGATGCAAGATATTTTTCAAAAGGATTTTACCTCCCACTGGACTCACACACCAACAAACTTGAGAACCATTTCATGTCACATCGGTAGTCAAAGTTAGACGGGCAGCCATGAGTCATGGAAAAGGTGATGTTAAATTTGAACTGATTATTTCTATTGAAACTTGAAACTTCTTTTTTAACTTACCTACATTTGCTTGCTTACTTACATCTCTTTTTTATTAGTCCAAATTGTGAGTTTAAAAAGAGTTGCTATTTTTTTTAAAGATCAAAAAATACCATAAAACTTAGCCATGATTAGGAATCGCTCTAAACCGCTCTGGACTATTTAGAACTGTTTCCAAAGTATGTTTAAGGAATAGCTCTTAATCGCTCTGAGCTATTTAGAACCATTCAAACCATTTTCCATTTTAGGAATCGCTCTAAATCGCTCTGGACCGCTCTAGAGCTATATGAAAAAAATGTGTTTTTTTGAGAAATCGTTCTAAACCGCTCTGAACTATTAAGGGCTATTTCTAAAACCATGTTTGGAAATCGCTCTAAATCGCTCTGAACTACTCAGAGCTTTTTCTAAAATCATGTGTTTTTTTTACAAAAAAAAGTTAAGAAACTTGTTTTTGAACTGTTTTTTAATAAGTTAACATGTTCACTTAATAACTGACAACTTAACTCTTTTAACTATACTTTTTTCTAACTTATAGCGAAAGTAAGTAACTTTGAACTTATGATATTTTTAGTTCTATTTATTACTTATAACTCAAAACTTGTAACTTCCAACCTATAACTCCTACCTTATTTGCAGCTTTTGACTTACAACTTTACCGATACCTTGTGTAATGCAACTACCGTAACAAGGTCAATTTGGAACAACCAATTTATATTAACCTGTGAAACCTTCAACTTGACTTAACCTCAAACTTCAGTTAAAAAAAATGATATTTTCGTTCATTTGCATCGATTGGAAAGGCTGAAAGGTATCAAAGTAAAAATAGTTCAAGTCCTGGATGATAAACCATGAGAATGATTGGAACATTAACATTGAATATAACACATTTCCACTCCGGAAAATCTTGGTAGACATTTTGATGAGAAGAAACACATGCATGTAGATGTACATCATACATCTGCCCGCAAACAAGATTGCCAACAATAACAACAAAGGCAACATGAACAAATAGGAAGGCAGCCAAAAGGTGGTTGATACTACTTCTTTCGTGGTTAGGATTTTTGACGACTCATATGATGATATGATTCAATGACTCGACTTATCTATTGAGGGTTTTAGGATATTTTACTTTACCAAAATGAAAATGTCGCAGATATGGTGTGTTGTACAAAATGTGTTTCTGTAGCCGAACGATAACTATAACTGTCTTTGGTTTGATTTGATGCTCATAGAGTCTTAAGACCAAGTGTACACACAGGTCTCAAAATTTGCTACACATGTGCTGGAACTCCATTTGAATTTGTAAATATGGAGGCCCAAAATCCATACCTTTCTCAATCAATTTCTTGTTTTAACAATTGTTCTAACTCCTGCGGCCAACTTTGATTTGACAAATACATGCGCGCATGCTATTACATCCTGTGTAGAACCATAGATATTTGCATGTTTCTACTTGCGCAATCAAAAATTCATTCAGGCTTGCCTTGTATCCAAATCCCCGACTGTTTTCTGATAAAAGAAAAACCGAAATAGCAAACAGGAAACAACAAGACATCGAAAGTTTTGGCGAGTGAGTTAAAATGAAGAAAATTGCTTACGTGTTTTCATTTGATTTGCAAATCATGGATTCTTGAGACAAGTTGAAAATTACAGCTCTGCAGATCAGCTACAATGGTATTGTAAAACCAGTTAGCTCCAAAACATCTTTGAGCTTCCATGTAGGCAAGTCCGCTTTGCGCAGAATATCAATGACATGGATGCTCTGCATAACCAAAGCCCACACCTGTTTTTTCTTCATCAGCTTTTTAAACAACTACTTTGGAAACATTTGTTATGCTTCGATTATTGATTTTGTTTTGTCTAGTTTGATTTGAAGGATACTTTTTCCATTTACATCTTGCAACTTATGTTTTGTTTGATAGATATAATCTTTGTTAACATTGCTTTTTTGAAATTGTAGTTAATGACTACTTATGTTATGTTCCTTATGTTTCATATATTTTGTATGAAGGACTGAGGGATCTGAGTGGATCTGTTTTTGGGATCGGCTTGGCATGCAGTGTTCGCAGCCAGGCCCTAGACAGCGGGTTGTTTCCCGACAGCAAGGCTGTGATGGGAAAATGTTAAAGAGACGTGATGTGGCCATGTAAGGCCATGGCAATGTGATGCGTGGGATGCTGCCCCAGGAGCCATAGTTCCGCTTCAGGCACAAAAATGTGGCAAAAACATTTTGTAGGAGAAACACAAAACAAGAGGCCAGGTGAATGATTTGGTTGGAAATTGTTTTGATTCAACTACTTTATTTTTTGATGTCCTAATCATAGATGTGCTGACAGTGGTATGAGCGGCTACTGGGCGAAGCTTGAGAGTTCACATGGTCAGGGCGATCAAAACAAATCACTTGCTTGCAGGGGCTGCTGGGGTGGCAGCTTTTGGGGTTAACGCTGTTGAGCCCAAGACTGGGAACTTACTTATTGATTGACTGCGCAAAGGATTACCCAAGCCTTTGGGCGACCACCCTTCATACGACCAAGCGAAAATCGTATGAATGCCAGAGTGGGCGGCTCAATGGTTTTCGTGTTTCCAACATATGTTGATTCTAATGCCAGCAACGTGAAAAACATAGAAACATGAGAATCACTATAACATCCCAAATTTACTCCCCGGACTAAATCATCATTTACTGGTAGGAGTAAATCATCGTTTACTCCTAGGAGAAAAAATTGCTCCCTGGACTAAATTTACTCTTTAGTCGGGCTGCCGGACTAAATTTAGTCGCAGACTAAACCCGAAATCATTGTTTTGGAGTAAATTAGTCCGGGACTATTTTTAGTCGGATTGGATCTATCAGGTAGCTGACGTCAAGTGACTCAGCAAAACACATGTCACCGAGGACTTTCATGCTTTTGCTTGCACAACCATGTTGAGGATCAGATCCCAAGTTGTGACTGGTGTTACACAAAGTCATCAATTTTCTTTGTGTGTCAAGTTTTCACTGGCCACCATTTTCGAGCCCGTGCTGCCAGTGAAATTTCTTGGACCACAAACTTGATTTCACCTTTTCCGGCTGCTCTGATTGTTCAACTTGAACTACATGGCCTTTTTCGAGCCCTGGCTTGTCAATACTATGGCTGAGACAGCGGACCCCCCTGCCCAAAATCCCAATGAGTTAGATGAAGCTGAATTTCGCGAGCTTCCACGAAGATCAGATTGCTCCTTCCAGGAGCCACAGTTCTCCACCAGCTGCTGCATTTAGTATGTGGTTTTCACCGGGGCAATGTTGAAGCAGGCGCAATTCGCATCCTCACCGACCGTGACTCGTTGCCAATTGGTCGCCTCATCAGAAATCTTACCTGGCCCAGACTACTCGCAATTGAAATTTGTGAAATGTCCTTGTACCACCAGGCTTGTTAACATTTTCGTGCCCTCCTCATCACACCTGAGGAGCAGGAAGTGAGAGATCATTTCCTCGTACTTGTTTCTTTGGCCTATGTTTCAGCATTTACTGTCCTGGAAGCCAGCCAACGCCGGGTCCGTGACCTCGAGTTTCAAGTGAGTTATTTTCAGCAGCGACTTTTAAGCAGCGACTTTTAGCCATTGGAAACCATTGAGTGAATGGTGCTCCCTTGCGACACCCAGTGACACCAGCTTCGATTTCTTGGGATTTTTGGACAGATGATGACGCCAGACAAGAGTAGCGGATCCTCAACTGACAAATTGCATTTTCGACGCTTCCTTTTCTCCATATTCAACTCAGACCTCGTGTGAACCCCGCGGAACAAAACACCGAGCAAGTTCTAGCGTCCACTTTTCCCCGGGGGTATAGCGCAGTGGCCACAAACACTTGCCAAGTGGCATTGAATTGATTGTCAAGTCGTCGACACATAGCACATGAATTTTGTAAGTTTCTGAATACATGTGTTAGCATGGTACATGTCACGTGGCCTGGGCGTTTGTAAGTCACACAGAGCTGCATTTCAAAGGAGAAATGGTGGCATGTTGAGTGACAGCAGAGGCTTGCAAGTTCTAGGTCAAGGTCAGATATGCAACATTCACAGACACATTAGTTTTGGGACGCCAGCTGCCAAGTGGCACTGTATTGGGCTTGAGCAGAAACTTTAAATTCATGTGTCCACTTGGCTCCAGGTGCGGGTGCGCTGGTCAGATAGAGCATTTGGCCCCATCAGGAAATAGTAAGGTGCAATTTCCCAGTCAGCATTGGATCATGTCCCATTAGCTTTTCACACCTTTAATACACCTTCGTACCGGAGGCCTTGAGCCCAGCTCGATAAAAGGTTTCGTGCCCAACCGTTTTTTGGTGGAGCGCCTGTGGTTTCTAGCCATACTGGCTGGCTACTTGACTGACTATTTGGGGGGCAACATCGGGCCGTGGCTACCGCATTGGTAGCGGAGCGCGTTCCGATCCCGGACCGCTCCATCGACTTTACCTTCCTCGCTGTTGCCGAGCTCTACGGTGCCTTCACCTTCAACTACGGCGTACCGCGAGAGGAGCCGCTCTCGGGACCACACGTCTAGTGTTGGACGGAGCTCTTCGACCTGGACATCGCTTACAGCACCAGCTGCTGCTTCCTCGAGCTCTACTTCCGGGACTTTGACACCAGGGACTCCTACGGCATCCACTCGGACTTTGACTCCTACCCAACGACTTTCCCTTGTGGATTGCGATCTGCTCATTGTCATGCTGGAAACTAGGACAAAAGCAAAGCAGTTGTACCAGGTTAGCAGGTTGATCAGCGACTTGCCTGCACTGGGTGACAACCCGACAAGGGAGGAGATCGGTCTCAACGCCTGGAAGAAACTGATCTTGGATTCGCCAGCACTGGGTCCTCGACTTCTTTTCACTTCAAAAAAACTTTGAATTGACCGTGGTTGCTCCAGAGAGGAAGTGATCCTGCGGAACAACTTTTGCCTTTGGGGTGAGATCTACTTGATTGAGCCCAATCTGACACTCTTTTTCTTCCAGCTCTACTTTGGTAAGTTTGTCTTTTTGCTGATCGTCTTAGACGTTTTACAGCTCAAGGCCATTTTGGCAGAGCCCTTTTACCAGTTTTTCTTGCAATCGCTCTACAACAGGAGCAATGGAGAATCGTCAAACAGCAGAGACAGTTCCTGGATGGGGCGGAGATCCGAGAGGATGGAGAAGGTATCAAAGAGAAGTGAGTTGGTTTGTGATGGGGACAAAGCCATCAATGCGAAAGTATTTGGCACCTCGTCGCATTGCCAAGCTCACTGGGCCAGCGAGGCTGCTTGCGATGGGATGGTCTCAACAAGACTTTCAAGGTGTTGATGCTGTCAACTGTCAACCAGTACCTGAAGAAGCTGAGCAAATCACCGCTGGTGAGACGCAAGCTGCCCAACACTGCCGCTGTGATGCAACAGTACTTTGGATTTCGCCGTGAATCCATGGAAACCATACCCCACTTCCTGGTGAGGGAGAGTCTTCACTTTGAAGAGTTTGTGGAGGCACTTCACTTGCTGAAACAGGAAAAGGATGGTGCAATGGATGAGGTCTTCATCCCACCTTTGGATGAAGAAGAGAGCGATGATGATGACGATGGTGAGACGCAGAGCCCCACACCCAAGAAGAAGTCCGACTACAAGCCAGTCCCTGCAGAAGATCCTGATGATCCAACTCCTGCGCCTGCTGCTGGTGGTGGTCGACCTACCTCGTCTACTTCGCCTACTTCGAGCATGGACTCCTTCATCCTGGAGCAACTACGTGGATGGCGGCTTCTAATGGCTGCTCTTTCACCTGAAGAGTGGCGATCGATCTTGGCTTCGACTGGAAATCGCCTGGACTATGTCTCCGTGATGTCCGCCCTGGAGATCCTCTATGACGAGCACTTCAGCCGAGGTCGTGGCCAACAAGGTTTTGGAGCTCATGGACAACAACCTTCCACTCACGACTTCAACATGGCGGAGAACGAGGCCTGGGATGATGATGATGATGATGAATCCTGGTCTTCTTGGTGGATGATGCCTGTCCATGAGGAGGAAGAGAACATGGAGGACTACGGCAGTGCTCCACCTGCTGCCGAACCACCTGCTGAAGAAGGAGAGGCCATGATGGCTGATGCCTCAAACGTTCATGGTCTCAGGCTCAACGGGCCACTCAGGTCATGAAGAAGGACAGGGGATTTGGAGCTGCTTCAGCTTCAGGCTCTGGTGCTGCTGGACAACAAGGCTGCTTCATTTGTTGCAGTCATCAACATTTGGCACGCCAGTGCCCTGACCGAAATGCACCCTTTCGTTTTGGGAAGGGCAAACACGTCCACTGGGGCGAGATGGGCAATGGCTCTGACTACTACGATGATGGCTCCTACGTCATGGTCTTACCGGCCTACAAGGGAAAGAAGGGAAAAGGTAAGGGCAAATCGGCATACTGGATGCCGGAAGATGGAACCACCTATGCTTTCACCGGCAAGGGCTTTGGCAAGGGAAAGCACTCCAAGAACCGTCAGAAAGTCAATGCCTACGCCATGGACGCCTACGACTACAATGGGATTGAATTTGAAGCTCAAGCTGCTCAACACGGACCACCTCACCAAACGAAGAACCCGGTCATCCAGCCAACGGCTGCCCATGGGATGATGGACTGTGGAGCTACTTGTTCCGCTAGACCTGAACGATCCATCCAGAACTTGGTGACCGCCATCTTAGCCAAGGACAACTCTGCTCGAGTCACCGTGAACGGCAAAAACAGACCGCGCTTCAGGTATGGGTCAGGTAAGTGGGAGAAAGCAGTTTTTCAACTTCAAGTTCAATCTAGTGTCACTGGTCGTACGTTCAACGCCTTTGCGCCCCCAAATCCCGAAGAAGTACATGAAGAATGGTTTCAAGACCACATGCTTGTCCCTGTGCTGGTGGGCATGGACTTTTTGAGAGGAAACGGTATGATTGTTGATTTTTCCGATGGTCTCAGTGTTTGCACTGCACATGAGGGAGCTCAACCTTTTCATTTACCCATGAACCACAAAGAGCACTACATGATTGACATCGCTGAGTTTCTGGTAGATGGGAAGGAAAACCTGCAGGGTCATCCGGAGATCAACATCATTTTTTCTGAAGAATTTCAAGAAGCTGCCGAACTAGAACAGTTTTTGGAAATGTTCCCTTTGACTTTTGATGTGGCTACTTTGCCAATGCAGTCTACAAAGTCTGAACGACAACTGGACTTTTTCACTTCATTTTGGAAGAGGTACCAATCTGTGTCGTCGCTGCAGCACACAAGGCTCATGGGCAAATTGTCGACAAGTGCTTCAGCACGCCCCAGTACCTCTCCAAGTGCTGTCGATGGCTCCGAAGTCGTCGAAACCGGCGGTGGAGAAGCCATGGGATTGGGACCAAGCTGTTCCAATGGACCCTCGCGATCCGAGGAGTCAGAGGAGTCATGGGAAACCACAACTTTATGAAGTGGCACAGCAACAAATGGGCTCAGTGGTGCCATTGCGGAGTTTGTGCACTACGCCTGGACTACGTTCCCAGTTTGGGCTCTCCAGCGAAGTAAACAAGTCAGCCCAATCCGGGCACTGTGACACAAGCCTTGGCGGAGCTCAAGAACATGATGGAACCATTGCCTCCAACAGAAAGCATGGTGCGCGTGATGATCGACAAGGTCACTGCGGAGCACCGCCTCACAGTCATGATAGACCAACACAAGATGGAGATGGAAAAAGCGATGGGAAAGGTCAACATGGTCAAGCTGATGTTCCAAAAGGGGCACTCAAAGGGAAACAAGGGGTATTCGAAGCCCGAGGCCTCAGAAGGAAGCCGGAAGTCCGTCGTCTTCAGCGGGCTGGGAAAAGATGACCCCTCCGACAGAACCCAAGGAGCTGGATCCGATCAACTACTTGACCGACGAGGAGAAGATGGAGTTGCTCAACCTGGCTCGTCAACGCGCCAGTGTTATCAACAACCCCGAGGACGATGTGGAGTTGGAGCCGGAGTAGCTGATGATGATCCTGCACCTTCAAAGAGTTTGCCTCTGAGGATTGGTCAGTCGGCCGTGAACCTCATACAACATGTTCAAGAAGGACTTGGAGGAGCTTTAGCAACTTTGGTCTATGGCAACGAACCTTGCGTCTGGGAGATGTTTTGCTCTCCAGACTCTGCCCTGAGGGTCCAGGGATTGAATTTTTTCAATCCGATTGATCTTTTCAATAATTATTGAACTTTTTTCAATCCGGATTGAAAATCAAAAATTATTGAAAAAAAATCAATATCGGTTTCAATCTGGATTGAAAAATATTTTCAATAATTATTGAAAAAACTGGAAAAAATCAATAATTATTGAATTTTTTCAATCCAGAAATTTAACAATTATAGTTGCTGCTGCAGGAAAGCATATGCACATCTTTTTCCTCATAATGCAAGCACTGGTGACACAGAGGAAACAAGACATATATCAAAGCATGGCCTTTTTGCAGGCCTCCAGCTTGGCTTTGACCTTGTGCTGGGGCCTTTGACATATCTTGCCTGGCTTTGTTTCAAGCACCTGGCTGGCCCAAGGTCATGGCATTAGCTTTGGTTGAGCCTGAGCTGCAGACCTAGCAAATACTTTTCACAAAAGCTCTCTGACAGCTTTGTGTTCTTGGTTCCATGGCTGCAAGAATGAGCCACTGTTGCCATGCTGCCTACCCAAGATTCTTGCCTGTATGTCCAGAAAGTCTTGGGATTCTGGTATTTGCACATCTGAGCTAGATGGTATGCCCAATGAAATTTGGGTACCAGCTGGAACAAGCAGTCCTGTGCGACATGGGCTTGCAGTCAAGTTTGTGAAGGCAAAATTCTTCACAAAGTCAAGTTTGTGAAGATTTCTGCCTTCACAAAGTCAAGTTTGTGAAGGATTCTGCCTTCACAAAGGCAAGTTTTTAAGGCAAAATTCTTCACAAAGTCAAGTTTGTGAAGGATTCTGCCTTCACAAAGTCAAGTGTGTGAAGGCAAAATCCTTCACAAAGTCAAGTTTGTGACACAAAGTCAAGTTTGTGAAGGCAGATTCTTCACAAAGTCCAGTTTGTGAAGGATTCTGCCTTCACAAAGTCAAGTTTGTGAAGGGTTCTGCCTTCACAAAGTCCAGTTTGTGAAGAATTCTGCCTTCACAAAGTCCAGTTTGTGAAGGATTCTGCCTTCACAAAGTCAAGTTTGTGAAGGCAAAATTCTTCACAAAGTCAAGTTTGTGAGAATTTCTGCCTTCACAAAGTCAAGTTTGTGAAGAATTCTGCCTTGACAAAGTCTTGTTTGTGAAGAAATCTGCCTTCACAAAGTCAAGTTTGTGAAGAATTCTGCCTTCACAAAGTCTTGTTTGTGAAGGATCCTGCCTTCACAAAGTCAAGTTTGTGAAGGATTCTGCCTTCTGTTAATCATCCCTTAGCCCTTGGTGATAAGGAATGGCCCCCAACTTTTTTCTGAAGAGCCTCGCCGTTGCACCCTCCACACTGTACATAGGGCAACTCTTTTGAAGGGCTGCCTTGGTTCTCTTCCAAGCTATGCTATGGCATCCACTGGCCTTCTCTCAGGCCCCCCTGCCTGCCTTGCATCTAGTTTCCGTTGCAATTCTGCTTGTCTTTCTTCCAGTTGCTCAAGCATGCCAAGCCTCCTTGTCCACTCAGGTGAGGCTGCAGCTGGCCTTGTGCTTGATTCTGGCCTTGTTCCAGGCCTCCAGGTCTCTCTCCAGGCCTTAACAATTTTGTCTAATCAGTCTAATCGAGCTGGATCATGACATTTCTCACCATGAGGCTTTGGAACCTGCATCCGTTCTTTCTCATGGCTGCCTTGGCTTTGTTTCAAACCTCTCTCTCTGATCTCAGACAAGGGTGTCTGCTTTTCCATGGCCTTGCTTGTTCTGACTAGCTAGCTTGCTTGAGCCTCTCACCGAGATGGAAAAAATTGGTAACCCCAAAAAGCTAAAAATAGGTACCTCACCCTATGCTCCCTGACCCAGAACACAACCACTCTCAAAGCATCTATTTTCCTTCTTCGGCAAGGTCTTGGCAGGGTCTTGGCAAGGCTTCAGAGATCTGTTTTGTGGCTGGCTTTATTTCAAGCCTCAGCTTGTGTGCTGGGCAAGCATGCCATTTCTCAGCTCCACTAGCTTTGCTTTTGTCATGCCCTGTGTTCCACAATGTGGAAGGAGGGCATCGATGACAGCACCATGTCCTCCTGGGTACCACCCTTGGATATACCCCTGTTTGGTATATTTTCCTGAGCCATCCAGAAAACCCTGGCCTTATTTCAGGCCCCTGCTCTTGCTTCTTTTGCTCTACTGCAGATGTCGACTGGGATGCAGGCCTCTTCAGTGCTGGCCTTGTTTCAAGCCTCTGCCCTGCCATGGCAGCTGCTGGTCTTTTGGCAAGCTTTTTGCCCATGGCAGGCCTCTTCTTGACCTGATTGGCTTTCTTTTCTTTTGTTGGTGGGCTCTTGGTGGCTAGCCTCTCTGCTGCTTCTGCAGCTTGCTGCTCCAAGGCTGCTTTGTGAGACTGGGCTCTCTTGCTGAGGAATGGCAGCCTGGCCGAATCTGGTGACTGGCTTTCTTTCAAGCCCCTTGCCCCAGCTGCTTTGGGTGATGAGGGGCCTTGTTTCGAGCCTCTTGCCTTCGGTGTTTTGGGTGATCTTAAGCCTTTCAAGGCAGTGGGTGGTGACTGGCCTTGTTTCAAGCCACTGCTGGCTCCTGCCTCGCCTGATCCTTCCCTTGATGCTTCAGGTGTTTTCAAAATCATTGGGAATCCTTTCGAATCAATGGACACTTCAGAAATCCCATCATCTCCAAGCCAAGATTTGTCAACTTCCATGTCACTGGCCTTGTCACAAGCCTCCTCTTGTTCTTCCATGGCACCTTTGCATGGCTCCTCAGGCTCCAGGCTGGCCTTCTTGGCCTTTTTGCAGGCCTCCACATTCGAGCTGGCACTGCTGGCATTTCTCCATGCCTCCCCATGCCCTGGCTCCAGCTTCAGCAAATTTCCAAGCCCCTCGGCTTCTACCTCTGTAGCTTTCTTCAGACATTGCCTCCTTCTCTCAGGATTATTTTTCAGCCTTCGCCAATGATTAAAGAGGGTGATTATTTTGCTGCTAATGGAACTTGCCCAAACACTGTGCTTCATGTCAGTCTCATTCAATGTAGTGAACCTGAGTACCTGCTTCTTCAATGGTAGGGGTTTGGGAATGCCATCACACAGTGGCAAGATGCCTCTGAGCCACGCTTGGCACTCCATTAAACCCTGAGCAGATGGTGCCTGAGCAACATCAAGGGTATTGTAAACCCCAAAATCAAAAGCCTTTGCTCCTTTCTTTCTCACTATGTCGTCAAAGAATTGAGACAATTCTTCCTCTTTCATGTCCAAGCTAGGCTTCCTGATAGCTCCACCTCGGGTGCCTTGGCCTTTTTCCAGGCCTCCTTTCCCATGGTCTTTCTCCATGGCTTTTTTTCAAGCCTCAGAATTTGCAAAAAAAACTGATTGAGCCAAAGAAAGGGCTGCAGAAACCAATTGCCATACATATATACTTCATACTCGAACCTGGATGCACACATCAGCAGTTAGATAAATGCTGCAGGTATCTCGAAATAATATATCTACATTTTTTCAATAATTATTGAATTTTTCAATAAAAAAATCAATAATTATTGATTTGTTTCAATAAAATATTGATTTTTTTCAATATTATTATTGAAAAAAAAACAATATTTTCTACGTTTCAATCCGGATTGAAAAAATTCTGGATTGAACAATTTCAATCCCTGGACCCTCAGGGTGGCTTGACCAACAGCTGCCTTCGAGAAGGACTTAACTCAATTCGAATTGGCCTGTCTTCAGGTTTTGATCTCTACAAGAAGGAGACCTACGAGGTTCTGAAGAATGTCTTCAAGAAGCAACGTCCACGCAAGATTTGGATTAGCCCTATGTGCACCTTGTTTTGCGACTGGACCGACTTGAACTATTGGTACCGCCCTGACGAGCTCAACAAGAAGCGAAGGAGAGAACGGCAAATGCTTCGCCGTTTGGTGGCTTTCTTGCTTTGGGTTTCCTACATGGATCCTATACTGGGAATGGCCTTGACGTTGCCGAGGATGGAAAGAACCGATCCTCTCCGACTTCTTTGAGAAACAACTTCTTGAACTTGGTCATGAAGTTTGGGATTGTCGCTTGGATGGATGTCGCTACAACCTCAAGAATGACGATGGAATCTTCATCCGCAAAGAGTGGACAATCAAAACAACTGACAGTGACTTCTATGGACACTTCCGCTTGAAGACTTGCACCAAGAACCACGAGCATGCTTGGATACAAGGTGAGCTGACCAACAAAACAGCTTACTACCAACCAACATGTGTTGGTCAATTGCGAGATTTTGGTCTCAACAGTTGATCCCTCAACGATGGTTTTCGATGCTTTGGACTGCACCGATCGAGATCAACAACGCCTTCAAGCTTGCCCTATGCCAACGACTTTGCCGATGAGGACGTTCTTTCCGAGGGCTACAGTCCTGGAAGCCTTGCAGATGATAAAGAACTTCCAGACCCTTCAGCTCTTCCTGACTAAAGATCTTCCTGGCTCTGACGAAGTTCGAGAAGCAGGAGGAGATGAGGAGATTTCAGAGAAGGAGAGAGAGGTTTGGAGAACCAGCTCAACCGCTTTCATCGAGCTGCAGGACACCACACTTCCAAGAACCTTGCAAGAATGCTCCAAGACGCTGGAGTTGCGAAGTGGATAAAGTCAAAGAAGCTTTGAGTTTCTAGTGTCCTTACTGTGAGGACGCTCGACTTGGAGGAACTTCTTCAAACCAGATCCCCCCGGCATCTCTTCGACCTCTACCACGTGCGTGGGAGCAAGTCGGTTTGGACATTGGTGAATGGACAGTACCCAACTTTGACCGCAAGATCAAGTTCATCCTGTTCATCGACATGGCGACCCGCTACAAGGTCACCGAGTCCCTCTTCGACTATGCCCACGCCGAC